TGAACTTACCCCAGCATCCAGAGATCAGCACAAAAAGCCAGATCACATGGCAGCTGGTGGTGACGTGGCACCTCATGGCTCCTGGGGATATAAAGAAGAAGAGGGTGAGATAAAGCCTCTTATTGGTGGGAAGCCTGCTCTTTAAGGCCCTCCAGCACCTCCCCACCCCTGTAGCTTCAGGGAGAAGGGACAAGAGGGAGTCAACTCAAATGAAGGCAGGGACATGGGGAAGAAGAGAGGGTCTATGTCATTGATTTTATCATCGTCCAGTCCTGGTATAACACAGCAGCCTGAGGGTAACTTTGTCGGGGCTGGCTGCTCAGCAAAAAAGGAAAGCTCAGCAGCAGACACAAGTATGGGATAACGACATATTCTGAACTCAGTGGGTGGTAGGAGGGGCTGCTGCCTCCATCCTCCAGGATGCATTACCTGTGAGTAATAGAGCCTGATTAGTCTGGGGACAGGGTTAGGAGATGGGTACTGAGCAGGAAGACAGGGGTCTAAGAGTGGACTTGGCAGGACCACTACCCCGCCTGCCCTAGTCTAAGTGCCTGACAAGGATGTTTTTTCCTGGTATTTTTTTTTTTAACATCCACCAAATTATCCCAAAACATTATTAGCTATGAAAGGAGGCAGCAAGTCACAGTATCCAAAAAGGCACAGAGAGGGGAGCGGACTTGCTCACAGCAAGTCTGTGGAAAGCTGGAGCTGAAATTTTAGAGGCTCAGAGCAAAGTTCCAGAGAGATCTGGAGCCCAGCTACCAGTGGATTAGCAAGGCAAGATCCCAACTCTAAGGGTGGTGGGGAGGGTGGGCTGCTCACTCCCATCCTGGAGGTCGCATACCCGGCCCTATTACAGCAGGGCCATGGTCCTCTGGCTCCTCCTTAACCCTGAAGTGGCAGGCCTCCCTGAAGACAAGGTGACACTAGGAAGGGCCCACACTCCTCAGCTGGGACTCCCTGCCTCCCACTGAACTGTCAGCCCTATTAGTGCAGGTACACGGCCCACTCACCTCCATATCCCTACAGGATCTAGCAAGGGCCTGCAAAGCATCCTGCAGTGAGCATTACTGCGTACCTTGCCTGGGTAGTATTATCCTCCCTGGTTCACAGGTAGGGTCTGGAGGCTGAGAGCCATTGAACAATTTCCTTGGAGAAACCAAACTAGTATGTGTAGGGGGTTCAGTATCTGGATTCAAGTTGACACTCTCATCAATAAGTGATCAGGAAAGACATGGAGAGGTAAAGGGAACTAAAGAAAAGGATGTTTTGGAGATTCTTCCGCATCTCTGAAAGATGTAGGGATGAGAGATTCAGAAAAGGCCAGGAGCTCAGATCCTTTACTCCGTACCTGGAGCAGTCTCTCTTTCTCAGTCCTGTGCCTCGAATGGACAATGCAGTGACCCCATCAGGTGGCTCCTGACCCACACATCACGCAATGGCCCATGGCACCTTTTCATTTTCCTTCTAACATTGTACTTAAAATGTCCTAATTACTAGGTATGAAACAGTCATTTGACGAATAAAAGAGTTTAAGATGTATTTAGGTAAAGACAAATACTCCCATCATCTCTTTGCTTTCTACCCATCTTCAGTTCCCAAATGTCAACAGCCTGTCCCAGGGTGCAAACTGCAATGTCTGCAAGGGCTGAGCAGGGACTGTAAATGAGAGAGACACCAAGTAGGTGGGGATGGTGGCCATTCTGAGGCCACATGCTGTCTAAAAGCAGCAGCTGCTGATGTGTTTCATCCAAGAAGGAATGTGGGCCCAGTATGACTAGAGCTTCTGATTTTTCTCAATGAAAAGCTGGAGTTTTGGCTTTTTATGTAAATTCAATTTTTAAATGTTGGCAAATAATTCAGTTTTTGTGAGCCAAAGGTGACCAGTCTGATGGCCAGAGCAGCAGGGTGAGTCTAGCATGCTTCCTACCAGGCCTTTCCCTGCACCCAGGCAAGCACATTCACATTACACACACGCATGGAGCCGTACGGCTGCTGCTTAGCTTTAGAATAATGGAGCAACCCTCTGCACAACAGCAACTTGCTTTTCCCATGTCATAATATTTCACAGATAACCCTCCACATCAACATTGTTATAGCTACCTCCTTCTTTTTAAGAGCTAAATAATAGTTCATAGTACGGATATAGCATATTAGAGACAAATATCCCCTACTATTGGGCATTTGGGCGTTTTCAGGTTCCTGCCACCACAGGCAACACCACAATGGACATCTCTCTGCATATAATTGTGTGGGAACTTTGATGGCTCTTGAACTTGGTTGTCCAACAGTGGGATTACTGGGTCAATTAAATACAACAAAGAGCATGTATGTAAACTTTTATTTGACACTGCCATATTATCATCTGGAAAGGTGCTGGTAGTTCTTACTCCCTCCAGCAGAATATCCTGGAAGTGATCCCTCTTTTAAATGGCTGCCAATCCGACGCATGAAAAATGGTTCAGTATTGTGGCTTTAATTTGCATTTTCCTAACTACTAGTGAGGTTGAGTGTGATGCCTTTTTCTAAATGTGCAAACCACTTTCCATCTGTTATCTTCCGTTATCCTACCACATCCTGCAAAGAACCTAGCCAGCATCGCTAGCATTACCCCTGATTTACAAGTGGAGAAACTGAGGCATAGAGCAATTAAGTGACAATTTGACATCTCATAGTGACTGAGTATCTTTTTAAAGAAATCTCGGCCCTCTGCCTTTCTAAACCAGATGTTATGAGAATTAAACAACATCTGCTAAGAACATCATCCACAAATAGCTGGGGAGTGCACACTGTTCTACTAGGTATTACAGGGAGTATGCAGTAGAAGGAAGGAAGGAAGGAAGGAAAAGGAAACACTTATTAGAAATTCCCACAAGCCAAGGGTTGTCACAGGTATTATTTATATTCAATCCTCCAAAATCCCTCCATGATGTAGGTATTATTGTGTCCACTTTACATATGGGGAAATTAAGGCTCAGAGAGGTCACTCTAGGATTAGAACTTAGTCCCACACTATTTCTATCACACCATTCTGCTGTCTCCCCGACCCCAGCCACCCGTTTACTAATCTATAAAAGGGAAAGGCACAGCCCCTCCTTCAAGGAGCACAATACTCATATAAACACAATTCACACAGGATGAAGTAAGCACATGCATACAACACACACACACGTGCATTATCCATCTCTTCTTCCACAATGCTGGTGCAGACTCTGATACTGAGAGGCACACTAGGCTTCTAACCTCTCTCTTTAAATGTCTGTTCGTCCTCTCTCCCCATAGATGATCACACTGCTTCGGTGCCCCCTATCTGTCAGTCAAGGACAGCCAAACAGTCCTAACTTTGCAGGGCCCACCTCCAGAACATCCAGAAGCAGAGACAATCTTTAGTCCATCCTGACTCTGCATCTTCACCTTGGGACAAGGTGGCACAGGTTTTAAAGGCTGAAGCAAAATAGTCAGGCCAACATGGGTCCATCCTGCTGCTGAGTTTTCCTTGAGATCCCAGATCTTGTTCTTCATCTGGCTCCTTTGGCTATGGGGAAGGAAGCAAGCCCCAGAAAGAGCAGAGGCTAATGACAACGGCAAGAGGAACCTGGGCTCCCACCCCCAGCCAGCATTGAGATAGATCTGCCTGTAGCTGCTGGCTTTCCCTTGGCACTGGTGCTGTAGCAAGTGACATAGGTCCCCCAGAAGAGCCTGGCCTCGCTCTGCCCTGTGCAACAGCTGTTTCCCCAGCCTTCTGGCTTTCCCCACTTCCTGCCCAGCAGACCTACATGGGCTCCTTCATTAGATGACGCTGCATCACCTTCAGGTTGGGGCCTGAGCTCCCACCAATCCTACATGTCCCCGCTGGACCAGGAAACACAGATATACATCCTTCGACGCTGGGTTTCCTGCCTGGGCCTGGGACTAGTGGCAGATGCCTGCCCCAGAGGTATGAGCAGGGTCATAGCCAGCTGCCCCCAAAACTTTCAGAGGCCTAACTTAGAGCCCATTCTTGAAGGAAACCTTCTAGAAATATCTCAAACATACCCACTGCCAAGAAGATAGAGCCAAACCCAAAAGCCCTCAGGCTGCCAATTCTTAATATCCTTCTGCATGCCAGGCCCTGTGCCAAACACTGTGGGAGGATACAGGGTCGTGAGAATGGCTGGAAATGTGTGCTAGGCACCAAATAAGTGATACAGATTGTCACTGTCCAGGGCCATCAGAAGAGAGGTGCAGAGCTTTCCAGAGGGGGTGAGATATGAGCTGTACAGATTTCAAGGAATCACAATACTAATATTTACTGAGCGCATATTATTTACCAGCACTGTGATATACAGTGTGCTCTGCATGTTAGGGCTCAGAGAGGTTAAATAATTTGCTCAAGGTTGCACAGCTAGTAAGTGGTCAAGTCTGGATTTGAACCCTATTCTGAAGGCTGTCAAAGATCAGTCTCCCAGTCTTAGTCCTAACATTTGCTGAACTCAGATCTGCCCCAAGGCAGGGCCTAGGCCAAGGAGGCCCTGGGCAGGACCCTGCCTCTACTCTGAGGCCAATGGGCAGACCTGGGTGAAGGTTACAAAGTGCCTCAGAACCACAGTGTGCCAGCAGGGAGGCCAAGCTGCATGTGCCAAGAAGGCATGAGGCTTGGGATGGCAGGTGGGCTCTTGTTTAGTCTGCTATTCCAAGCTGTTTGGCATCTCATAGGCATTGGCTCTGTACCAGTACCAAGAAGACAATGCATGCAATACCAGAGGTGACCAAGTCCCCCACTTCCTCACCCTTCACGCCTCTCTCTAGCACCATCCCTGAGAAGTTAACACCTTTGTCCCTGGTGAGAGCAAACTACAAAATTTCCCAAATTCAAGGCAGCAACCCCACCCATACTGGCCTCCATCTTCTCCTGTCATCAAACCATAAAGACTTGCTGCTCAGGCAGCCTTGGGCTGCAGACCGACAGAGGAGGCTCTGGGGGGTGGCATAAATACAGCAAGAAGGGAGTCACTCCACATAGAAATCAACTTGCAATTCAAATCAAAGCCTCCACTGATACCCCAGAGAACTGGTGAGCTGCAGGGGGAGGCTTCTGAGCC